GTGATGTATCCTCCTTCTGTATGGTGTATTATACAAGGTGACAGAAGTGATGTATCCTCCTTCTGTGTAGTGTATTATACAAGGTGACAGAAGTGATGTATCCTCCTTCTGTATGGTGTATTATACAAGGTGACAGAAGTGATGTATCCTCCTTCTGTGTGGTGTATTATACAAGGTGACAGAAGTGATGTATCCTCCTTCTGTGTAGTGTATTATACAAGGTGACAGAAGTGATGTATCCTCCTTCTGTGTGGTGTATTATACAAGGTGACAGAAGTGATGTATACTCCTTCTGTATGGTGTATTATACGAGGTGACAAAAGGTAAAGTAATAATGAATACTGTAATAACATGTTATGTTATGAATTGTATGAAAGTTAAGATTTTTGTGTTATTTATTATAGCAACCACCCCCACATTTTTTTTAAGTTCATAACCCGGACAAAGGACGGGTACCTCAGCTTGTTCAAAATAAATCTGATAAGAAACGAGCACAAGCAGCGTTTGTAATGCCATCTAGTGAGCACTGATTGTACCACACGCGAATAACACAAGAGTTATTATTGTTTGAAAGATTTATAGAATTGAAGAAAAAAATAAATATTAAAAATAAAGACAATTTTACTGTTCACAAATACTTCATTTATTGACAACCGTGGTTTCGCTAGTAAAGACGTCATCACGGTAGTGGCGAAACCACGGTTGTGTCAATAAATGAAGTATTTATGATACGTATTCTTGTCTTAGTTTTTTTTTTTCCTCAATTCTGTAATTATGGTTTGTTTGTAGTTAAGCACAAAGCTACAGAATAGGCTATGGTGTGCTCTGCCCACCACGGGTATCGAAACCCGGTTTCTAGCCTTGTAAGTCCGTAGACATACCGCTGTGCCACTAAGCAGCAGTAATTATGGAGTTTCACCGACGGTTTTCAAGCATCAATTACGTGGAAGGGGGAAAATATTTTTTAGATTTCGTATTTTATTTTGATTTATTCTGCTCTTTAAGTCATTAAGATCTTTTTTTTTTTCCTTTGCTACCAGAAATGAGTGATGAAGACATTAAAAAAAAAACAAAATCATGGTTAATTATTTGAAGTTGCAAACAAGAGTTCTTTGAAAGAAGAACGTTTGTTTTTAGTTTATGAAAGACTCGAGTCGGATCGGTTATGGAAGACCAGATATCATACTCAAAAGTATTGTTAAGTATATATATATATATGTATGTGTGTTTTATGTCTGACACAATTAAAAAATTAGCTACTAGAAAAAAAAAATTACACTCGCCAAACTACCCAGATTTGCCATCAGATATATTAACAACTTATTGCTGTATTATTTTTAAAGAAAAATACTTTATTACGAGAATTATTAGAAACAATCTATGGGGTCATTATTCTTTAAACTTTTGTTTTTATAATATTATGGACATTTTGTTTTGTTTTTTTTATTTCGCGCAAAGCTACACGAGGACTATCTGCGCTAGCCGTCCCTAATTTAGCAGTGTAAGACTAGAGGGAAGTCATCACCACCCACCGCCAACTCTTGGACTACTCTTTTACCAACGAATAGTGGGATTGATCGTCACATTATAACGCCCTAACCACGTGGCCATTCCGGGGCCTTATGGACATTTAGACTTCTACCATGTTTGAAAGTAGTCCTATAGTTTCCATGGGAACTAGAAACTTTGTGCACCTGCTCTGGTTGTAATGTTTTACAAGAAAGTCTCTTTACTTCTTAACTAAAGAAAACACGTGACTATAAATATTAGGACCTCATCCTCATTATCATACTTATTTTTTTTAATTTTTCCAAAACTAAATGATTTACAACGACACATCTATTTACAATCAAATTGAATACAACGTTAAAATCATTACACGATAAATAGTTATTAAAAACAGGGGCTTGCCCTAAAAAAAGATTTTACACATGTCCTATGTCACCATTTTAAGAGAACACCGAAAAAACACACACATATATATATAGTTTTTTTTAGAGCAAGTACCCGTTCTTTAATAATGATTTTAACGTTGTATTCCATTTAATTGTATATATATATATATTCACCATTTCATAATCACATTATATATAATGATGAATGTGTTATGTCTTCTTTGTGGTAGTTCAGTTTAAACCACTAACGAAAACAATCTTATATACCTGGAGAAATAATAGCCTAATCACAAAAAAAAATGATGTTACATAGATTACCATAACATCTAAACATGTAAAATGTGTCAGCATGTTAACCAACAACTAACTATTCTTTACTTACGTTCTGAAGTAGTAACACTAACATTCTGGCTTGATTTATGTCACTTTTGGTAACAATCAGTTGTTGATACAAAAGATAGCTATTTACTTTAATCAACTTAAGTTCTTGACTCTTTAAGACCTTCTTTGTCAATACTGCCTATCGACTTTAAAGTAACTTTTAATTTACAAATAAAATTTTGTATAAATACTGAGCACCATCAGCTGGTATTCAGTGACAGACTGGCAAGAATACTTAACCCCACCCCCATCCTCCACTAATATTGCTTAAATAAAAGAATATAGTTAATTTTAATAAATAAAACTATGTTTACAGCAGGAATGGAAAACCTATAGTTGTTGGCATATAGGGAGCCTCAAAGATTGGCCAGTTTCACAGTTGGACCTTTCATGAGGTATCAGATGGGTCCTGGGTTCTAAAAGTGTTAATTAGGACTGAATATAATCAGATGCACTACTTATATAGCTCACAAGTGGACCTTTTATGATTTAAGTCAAGCTGGCCTGTGGAGGAACTGTCCCACCCACATGTACACCACTCCTAGTGGCCGACAATGCAAACTAAGTGTAAGAAATCAACTAAGTCAATTTTCAGTTTTAAACTGGTTTTAAGTTTTGAATAATTTGATGCTCTGTCTCCATTTAATGACAAGTTTGTATTTATACATGAAAATCAGTTACATCATATTACTTAAACATTGACTGAGTAGTTTTAACATTCTACATATCATTTACTAGTATATACAGAACTTATTAAAAGAGCAGCTATAGTCTCAAATGGATTCCTCTCTCTTTTTTTTTTCTCAAGAAACAAGCCTAGCAGAAATATGACTTAACACTGGCATTAGAATCTAGCTGCCTCTTCTTATAAATAAACCAAACAATGAATGTTTGACAATCACACAAAAAGTAGAGTTCACTATTTGTGATTGTGTTGTCAAACTTCTTTGTGTTTATAGTTTATTGGAAATGAAACAAAAACTTCTCGTAGTCTTAACCATCCATTCTTTCTGAGACAGGACAAGAGAGAGAGGTAAGGAGAGAGTACAGTGGTTACACGAAAGAATAAGTGTTTTCTATTGCTCGGCCCGAAACTGCCGCTTGTTGTTGGGGGTTAACATGTAACGTTTCTAAGGATTGTGTTCGAACTCGCACGGATCCACCATAAGTGATGACGTCGTGAAGTTCTGGAATGCTGGGGACTCGACTCTGTCCTGGGGTTCCCGTTCGAACTCCTTCAGAATGGGAAGGTGAACCCCGAGTGGGATGCGAAACTGAGGTTGATTGCTGGGTGCCCTCTGTGTTCACCACGTACTCTGTCAGAGTCACGTCAGATGCTCCGCCAGATTCTAGAGGAATGGGATGGACACGGAAATGCTCCAGCATGTCAAATATTGCCTGGAACCACAGGTGTTGGACTCTGCACTGTCCCTCGGTATTAATGGTCATTCGAAGATGCTGCAGAAAAAGATTAAAAAATCCAGTTAGACCTAACCCAGTCTAAGTGTACTATTGCTCTGTATCACCCACAGTTATCTTCCGTGACATGTTACCTATCTTTACCAGTACCAAAAGGCAATGATGGAAGGCTTTTTTTCAGTGTGTATGTATGTATCTCTGTGCGTATGTGTGTTTAAAACAAACTACTGTAAATGCTCCTTGACTGATATGGAAAACATTTGGCTTGATAGTAGAATAAAAAAGGTTAATTCTCTGAAATAGAAACTGAAAGAAAAGTGCATCCATGTTTTATGAAAAAGTTTAAAGTATGTTCAGTCTTTATTTTTCACATAGCATATATCTTCCAAAATTATAGACATTTGGAATGTGTATTTATTGCATGTTTTCTTCCAACTTATTTCCTCCATCAAATAACAGAAAATAGCTCCATAAAAAACCATAGAGAAAGAAATGAAATATGTACATGTAATCTATGTTTGGTTTAGTTTGAAAATCGTGCAAAGCTACATGAGGGCTACCTGCGCTAGCCATTTCTAATTTAGCAGTGAAAACTAGAGGGAAGGCAGCTAGTCATCACCGCCAACTCTTGGGCTACTCTTTTACCAACGAATAGTGCGATTGACCATAACATTATAACGCCCCCACGGCTGAAAGGGGTGAGCATGTTTGGTGGGACGGGTATTCGAACCCGCAAATTGCGAGTCGAGTGCCCTAACCACCTGGCTATGCCGAGCCTCACACAATCTAATCAGAGTTTAACGATTTTTCTAATAATTGACACAACCTCTCTACAGATATGTTTCTAACTGTAGAGACTACCTTTAAGTAGAAATGTATTCATGCCTCTTTATAGTCAAAGGAAATGCCAACAAGTGTGATAAACAGAGGAAATATACTACTGTTTGAAAAACAAAAACAAAAAATTAAAGACACCTATATATTTTAAAGCAAAATTTTCATGTATTATAGATTCAAATAAAAAGCGCCACCTTTCATGAAAACGTTTCATTACTGGAACAAAATAAAATAAAAGTTTGATTTGAATATTTCAAAAGTAAAGAGACATCAACTGAATTATGTGATAGATCTAAGATGTGCTAGAGGAATAAAAATGTAACTTTAACAACACTGAAAATAGTTGGAATCACTGATGGAAATCAACAAAGTTCACTCAAAGAAATTCATAAACACATTCTGGAAGTTATAAATGGCCTTCACTGACCTAAGTCTAAAACTAACTATCGCATAAACTCAGAGGTTGATATTATCCATTTCATTTTATTTGGACTACAGTTGATCAGAGGCTATAACCTGTTCTGTGATTCAAGATACCACTCCAACTTGTGCATCCATTCAATACACACTCCTCCTGAGAAGCTAGTTACAGTAGAAAACTGACAGAAACTAAAGATCCAAGACCACTAAATAATCAATCAACATTTAGTTCTTTTTGTACTAGCCAGATGTTCAGAAGGTTTACTTGACTGCACTAGATGGTATATATATTTGTTTGTGGGTGGTATTTGTGAAAAAAACAAAAACTCCTCTACCGATGGTTGGTTCGACAGTTCTTCTGAATGATAGTAAGATTATTTTGAATATAAAGTCAGTGTTAAGATGAATAAATAACATTACCCTAAAAATCTGATTTGTAAAAACGACTTAAATAAAATTGGTAATATTTATAACTAACTTACATAATCTGGTTAACACCATAACACACCTAGACCACTACTACATCGTGTCTCAACTGGCCTGATAAGGCCTACTATTGGGCAAGAGGCCTCATTGCGACAGATGCGACTTTACTTTCATTCATAAGTTCTTCGAAGTTGCTAACTAATCAACAGAGTATTTCATTTAATAATAAAATAATGTAACAAGAAGAGTCTTAGAAATTTTCTACTATATACACTGGCTGCATTACGGATATAACATATTAGAACTGGTTTTCGTTCTATTAGTCTCCGGAAAGTCCAAAGAGAATTTCTGTTTTCTCAGTTGACATCTCATATGTTCTAACAGAGATCTCTACACGTGACGAAAAGCTTTTAATTTACAGAGCACGCCCAAAATGAAAGCATTAGTCTATACAGGAACTTTTTGGCAAAACCAGACACGGTTATGCCGCTTTTAAAACTGTAAAATATACACTTTATTACCTTCCACTTTAGAGGAAAAAATAAATTTAAAAGAGAGTAATTTATTTTTTGAATAATTTCTAAAACATTTAAATTTTTGAGTAATTTTTTCATCCACAGATTCCTGCTAACGGTGTCAGGTTTAGCTAGCCATTGAAAGATTAATTTTTATCACTAAACACTTAAGGTACCGCATATCACTTAAGACAAACGACAATACAAGTGATGTAGCTAGAAATTTTTCTGGGAGGGGGTAAATCATTTGAAATTTATAAAATACTAGGGACATATGTGTCATTAAGCTTCTTTAAACAACAATCATGCATGTATTAGTAACACATCTCCAGCTGATCTAAGGGGGGGAGATTTTTTTTTATTAAGATCTTGAAACACAACTTTCCCAGGGGTGGGGGTGGGGTCAATTGCCACTGAGAGATATATACATCTTATTGTAGTAAGAGTTTCTGGAGCTACTGAGAGGGTTTACCTTAGCCCTGCCTTGGAAGTTGAAGGTCAAAACATATTCTCCTTTCCTGGTTTCACTCTGTCGGACTAGAAATACTCCATGGCCGACAAGACCTTCTCTGAGAACGAGCTGCGCTGCATCACTTCTTGACAACATTCCGTGGAACCATGGGTATTCCTTCAGTGTCTGATAGATGTCGGGGACTTGTTCCCCTGCTATAATAACAAAACTTCAATTCTGATATAAATATTTTAGTAACCCATTGTTTAATTACTAGGAGGTTATAAATGTTATTCAAAAACTGTTGAATCCAAACTTTAGTTGCCCGAGAAAACTTAACCTTGCCATCATTTGTGCCAGCTAAATTCATGTCAACGTGTTCCCAACCTGTAGCATGCATTAAAAAAGAAAAGAAAACCCCACACCTCAAAATTCTAGGGTAGTCTCAGTGAATTACCAACATATTCTGTTAGCCAGCACTCGACATTTGACTACTGTAGACTCACTCTTGAAATATTTCTTTTGACTTATTAATATAAACCATTCTTTTTTTTTTTTCCTTAAAAATGATACATATCTGGGGTATGCCAGTAGCTCAAAGGTATGACAGCGGGGGTCGTAACATGAAAAAAAAAAAAAGTTGGGAACCACTGGTGTAAGCACTTAAAAAAAACATGAGAATAAAAACAGCAAACATAGAACCTCTTTAAAAAATGTGCAAATGCTGAAGATTGATTCAATAACATGGACAAAGTGACCATCTTGGAAAGTTACTTGAGCTGTTGTCCACTTTAGAAGGGTTTACCAAACTGAGCCCAAAATTCTAAAACCAGATACCTTCAATTTCAGAATCACTCCAGTAACAGTAGACATATTTTATATTATAACGATTATTTCACTTTCAAGGACAAGTAAGGATTAGATTAAGAACCTTGTTACGAAAATTACACGAGTACACAATATTTCACAAGGCAATTCAGGTGTATATATATATACAAAAAGATACAACCCATCAACAAGTTGACACATAGCACGACGTGACACTTTTTTTTACTTCTATTTTTAAATGTTACTCAAATCTTGACAACAAAAAGCTGGAAAAAGAGATATATATCGGAGTGTAACTTGAACTGTAAAAACATCCTTTCGTTATCTCTAGGAAAATCAGTAATTCTAGCTTAGATACTCCTACTTTTACTTATTTAAAAAGTTCAAAAATCTGAAGATAACGTGAAAGATTTGATTACCTATCTCTCGTTCCAGTCGTGGTGATGTTCCGAGCTCACCACCTCCTACCGCAGGAGTGACTCCAACAATGGCCACTCCTCGAGGAGGTAGATCTGGAGGAGGTTCTGGGCTTACTTCTGGAGTTGTTTCTTCATTCTCTGATATGTCACAGATAAATACATCTCATTAAAATATCAGCACAAGATTTACGAAACATTCTTAATCTTCAGCACGGAAAAATTCCTTTAAAAAAATAATTCATCAGGAAATATTTTCTCACATTTCATAAAGTTTTATGCAATCTTAACCCTAGTTCTGTCAGGCGTGTTCTTTTCTACAACATCTGAACAGTGTTATTTCAATTTTCTGCAGATATTTTTGCCATGTGCAGACAGTCGCATTACAGCCTTGTTTTACTGATTTTCCTTGATTATAATGTTAACTTACTAATTCAACAAAATCTTTGCAAGCCTACAGAAATGTACGTATTTAGAGGTTATTAGTATCGAACTGGGGGGGTATGATTTAGTTATGCTTTTATTAAAATATGAATGTAAATATTGTGAGCTTTGTAACAAAACCACATTGTTCCACAGTTTGCATTAGATGTATTGTGTAGAAAATCCCTTATAAATATTTTCAATAAAAGCATAAACCATTCATTCTGTTATACCATCAAGTTCAAGTTTAATTCTTATGCTAGAGAGCTGATCCGAATAAATCAATATTTTAGATTTTGGTTTCAGGATTAATTTTCATCTCCTTTGTTAGGTACAACAGTTAAGACAAACATACATTAACACTGCCAGCTAGCAGAAAATACATCATATATATATGCATTTTATATTCGTGTTGCATTAAATTTAATTAAAACTGAGATAGTAAGATCATATTGAGATCAGCTAGAATTAAGCTTCAAAGTTGGAAAAATTATTATGAAGTCAAACCTTCAAAAATTGTGACTTTGGTAATCAATTTTAACACCCTACTTATCATACTGTCGTATTTATCACCTGGTATATTTTACTTTAAACAAAATTGTGACTTTGGTAATCTATTTTAACGCCATACTTATCATACTGTCGTATTTATCACCTGGTATATTTTACTTTAAACAAAATTGTGACTTTTTATGATATCACAATTTTCTTTAATTTTAGTTTCTACAAAAGCAGTTCTTTAAGGCAAAGTTGTGTGTGTGTATTTTCATTGGAATTGTATGTGTATGTGTGTGTGTATTTTCATTGGAATTGTGTGTGTGTGTATTTTCATTGGAATTGTATGTGTGTGTGTGTATTTTCCAATTCCAATGAAATTATAGTCAATAAAATGTCCTAGTTAAGTTTCCGGGAACATAATTTTTTCACAGATAAGCCGGCTTTATATAGTTATTTGTTGTAACATGGACTGTATTACCATGGTAACAGATTTTTATATTCACTAGTATAGTTGCTAAGCATGATTATAATCTGAAATAATCCTTACAAGTCTAATAATTTCCTACAGTATGACCAGGTGATTAGGGCGCTCGACTCGCAATCTGAGGGTTGCAGGTTTGAATCCCCGTCCCACCAGATATGCTCACCCTTTCAGCTGCGAGGGAGTTAGAAAGTGACGGTCAATCCCACTATTCATTGGTAAAAGAGTAGCCCAAGAGTTGGCGAAGACTAGCTGCCTTCCCTCTAGTCTTTCACCGTTAAATTAGGAACAGCTAGCACAGATAGCCCTGGTGTAACTGTATGCGAAATTCAAACCAAACCAAATCCTACAGTAAGCACGTTTATCCTCTGCAACATAACAGAAAATGAACTGTAAAAAAGAAGTACTTACTTTTACTAGTTACCGGAGCGCTTTGTCTTTCTCTTAGCCTGGTTAAACTATCCGAAGGTACACTTGGCAGTCTTGACCTATTCAGTTAGGAAAAAAATGGTTTACATTATCTTCTACGCCACTCATCTTCTTTTACAACACTTCTGTAAAGAAAAACTACTGTATTAAACTGTAACTGTTTCATTTCCTGACTACGATGCAAAGCATAATATTACCCGTGATATTACAGTATGTACTGATCACTCCTTCACATTTGCGCTTGTTAGAAAATGTCGCACGAAAAAAGTAAAACATCAGGGAAATGTCACGGTAGTCCCTACAAACATAATAATATAAAGATATTTATCTTTGTAATTAATAACTCAAACTATCAGAAAATATCCAACTGGTGATCTAAGTATGTGTAGTTAGAAGTTTTTGTGCTTTGTCTGTCACTCGTAATTAAGGCTGTTATCAATTAAATGTAATTATTAATGTAAAACTTAATAATATAAAGATATTTATTTTTGTAACTAATAACTCAAAC